GTGGAGCTTCCCGGAGGCCTCCGGAGGCAAACAGGAGGAACCGAAAACTTGGAGAAACCTCGATCTTCGAGCCTCGAGAACCGCGGAGGGAAGCGGCGGAAAGAGGGCGGAGGATGCTCAGCATGGGGGAGGAGGGAACACCTTCGAAATGCCTGCCTGCAAGTCCCGGAAGAAGGCCGCCATGGGCGCGGCCGGGCTTCCCCCGCGCAGCCCGCCACCGCCCCACGCCTCGTCCTCGATGCGCGCACCGTCCGCCTCGACCTCCTGCTTCGTCGTCCTCGCTCTTCTCGTCCTTCGCCTCGTCGTCCTCGTCCTCGCCTCGCCCTCCTCGTCCTCGCAAACAGCCTTGTCGTCGTCGTCGTCGTGATGGTCCTCGTCGTCGTGGTCGGCGTCGTCGTCGTGGCGATCTTCCTCTTCCTCCCCACTCGGAACAGCACCGAGGCGGACGGAATCCGTCTTCAGCCCCGCAGTGCAGCAGACGGCGGGGGGGGGGGCACCGCGCACGCATGCCACTTGCACCACTTCGTGGTCAGATTAGCGCGCCTGGCTGGTCGGCTTGCTACATCGAGTCACGAAATCGACTCGGATCGGACACGGATCCGAATAGAATCGGACTCGCATCGCCGTGACCCACTCCAGCCGACACCGACCGATGTCAGTGAATCGAACTTCGGGGTCGGCCAAGAGGGGGACGTCCAAGAGGGGGGGGGGCGCAATTCATGGCCGGCGGCATGTGCGCGGTCCAAAGGGGGGGGCCAGGAACGTAATGAAATAAGAAGAGGCGCCATGAAATCTGAGGAAATGTCATGGCCCGCGTCATGATATCCCCCCCTAGTCATCACCCCCCTCTTTGCCGCCCCCCAAAAACTAGATCGAACCATAATCACGACCCTGACTGGTCCCAGGAGCCGCACGCAACCGTAGGAAGACGAGGTCGAGAAAGCGCCTCTGCCTCTGTACAGTGGGGGCTCGACCACAAGAAACCTTCCACAGGAAGCCCAACCCTGAGACCCCAGGAGGTCCGTTGATTTCTGGTGTGGGAAGGCCACGCGTCTTCGGTAGCGGAGCCATCGACACCCAAAAAGTCCAGGGCACTCTGGAGGCAGGCAGGGTGTTTCCAGGGGCCGACAGTCGCCCCCTGCACGTGTGCTGGGGCGCATGCCAGCCTGGATGTCGTGAGGAATCCAGCCGTAGCCACGGGACCACCCCCGAAAATGCCCAAGCAGCACCTAGAATGATCAGAAAGCATCGATCCGCTGACTGAGAGGGAAGGAGACGGCGAGAGAGAGGAGATACATGTTTTAACTGGCCTCTACTTGGCGGCGAGCGAGGGGGGGAAAGGAGAAGGAAAAGGCCTTCTGAGAAGGCGGCGGGGCTTCTCAGAAGCCCTGGCGCCTTCTGAGTTCGGGGAAGGCTCAGAAAACGTCTCAGAAGGCCGGGGGGCTTCCGAACAGCGGTGGATAAACCTTCCTTTGGTAAACCACCCTGTAGTGAAAACGGCCTGGGACCGAAACCGACTGACCTGGACCCGCAAAAATACGGCCACGACTTGCTCCAAAGGAGCATCGTCGTCCTCCTGGCGTTCGTGCGTCTGGCACTGCGCTAGGCTGCTGGAGGAAGGGAGGAGAGGGAGTGAGGGGAGGGAGGCGGTGTGAGGCGGTCGGCGGGAGGGTGCGGGGGAGGGGAGGGAGAGGGCGGGGAGGAAAAAGAGTGAAGGAGGAAAACGTGGGGAGGGTCGGCGGAGGAGTGATGGGGGCAGGATGAGGAACGACGGAGGAGCAATGGGGATTTGGGCACGTCGGGGGCAACACCCTCAGCGTGGCGACGCAGGAAAGCAAGAGGAGGGGGGGCCCACGGATGGCTGCTGAGGCAGAGCGAGGAATGAGGAGGGAGGAAAGAGAGAGAGAGAGAGAGAGAGAGAGAGAGAAAGAGACAGAGAGAGGGTGCGACGGGAGAGAGAGAGAGAGAGAGAGAGCGGGAATGAGGCGAGGGAGAGGAGAGGCAAGAAAGGGGGAGAAGTGAAATAAGCAAGCAGGTAGGCGTCGGGAAGCTGATGGGGACGCGGATGGAGGGGGGAGGAAGGACTTGACAACGACGGGAGTGATCGGGGGGCGAGGGAAAGGGGGGCAGGAGGGGCATGCAGGAGCAGTGGGAAGAAGGGCGGGAAGGGGGAGGAGGGAGAACAGCGGGACGAGGGGATGGACAGGAAGAGAACGAGGGAGAAGGGCGAAAGAGGTGGAGACTGAGGGCGACTGCGACTTGTTCAGCAATGCGCACGACGCCGTCGGCGGTGCCAAAAGACGCTGTAGTAGGTTGCCCTTTGCCCTCGACCGGATGGTGCGCGCAGACTCCAGTTGTGTGCGTTTTATGTACATGGCGCCGCTGGCATTCAGCGGGGCAGAGGAGGTTCGAAATGGGGCACGATGGAGGGTGTGGTTGGGCGAAGGGGAGATCGCACAAGGGGGTCAGCGAATCAACCCACGCAGCTTATGTCGCCAGGAGGCGCCGACGCATCGAAGAAAAGACACCTGGCGGCGGGGACGAACGCAACTGCGTGCAACAAAAACTTCGCGCCCCCATTCCCAATCGTCGGTTCCGAATCCAAAGAGGTTCCTACAACTCTCGTTTGTGCACCATGGTCTCACTCTCCTCCCTTCCTCGCGCCAGTTCCTCCGACCCCCCCAACAAATAATACAGTGGAGGCCAATCCACGTGAAACCTTCTGCAAAAAAAAAAAAACACCCTAAGACCCGGGCGTCTATGGGTTGTTGGCAACGCCATGGCAAGACCATCGAAACCCAGGGCACCCTGGAGGCAAGCGGGGTGTTTCTTAGCATGGGCCCCCACTGTAATTCAAGTTTCGCCACCGTGCCCTGTGCACGAATGAGCGCCATCAGTCTTGGAGGTGGAACGATTGCGGGCCACGGCCGCCGACAGGTCTGCTCGCGTGGCTCGCTCACTCGGGGCCCCAAAGTGCAACAACTCAAAGCCGTGGCACGCGTTTTCGCATGATGTCCCCCGGAACACGAAGGCCCTAGAACGGGCCGCGGAAGCCCCAAGACGCCCCGTTGACGCCCAAGAGAACCCCGAGAAAGGCCCAACAGCGCAGTAAGATGCCAATGGTTGCCTCAAGACGGCGCTAGAGGCATCCAAGACGCCCCAAGTGGGTTCCAAGAGGCGAGCCATTGTCTGTTGCGTTCTCGCCTTCTCTAACTTTCGGCATCCAAGGCGCCCCCAAAGCGCCCCAAGACGACCCACCAGGCACTCGAAGAGGGCCCGATGACGGCCCACGAGAAATCCAAAACGACCCCATAGGCCCAAACACAGCCCAAGGTGGCCACAAGAGGGCCCGCGAGAGGCCCAGATGGAGCGCACGAAACGTCATTTCGAGCACTCTGTGTTCACGCAACTCCCGCCAGCACACGGATCACCCGAAAACCGCCCCCACGAGGTTTCCGCAATTCCTGCCGGGAGCCTGGAGTTACAACGAAAACTCGTGCGCGGGATATGCCGGATGCCATTGCACGTGTGCATGGGATTTTTGTGCCACCGCCAGTGAACGCTATCCTGCTTCCATCCTTCTTCACCCAATCAAAATAATAATAATAATTTTAAAAAATATTTTCCAGTGGGTGTTGTTCGATCGGGGCGTGTTCGGTCATTCGAAACACGCTGCGGTATCACCGATGGCAACATTTCAAGATCGGCGCTCTGCCCCCGTCGTTCAGAATGGAATTCTCGCCCCAGCACGAGCCACAACGCTTAATGCCTTTTCTCGCCATCGCCGCCCCCTAAATCAACCCTTTTAGCCTCTCAGCCTCTATGCCAGCAGATCCCACGGCGTGAGACCAGCAGCAGAGAGAAGAGTTGGGGGGTCGGGGTCGGAACAACCCATACCACCTCTTTATGGGGATGCTACGACCAAAGAAACGCATAGTGCTGGGGTCGACGCCTCGCTTGAGGAGGCTAAGGGAGACGGCGGCATCCTTATTCTCGGGGTGGCGATTACAAAGGTTCCCGAGACCTAGGACTTTCGCTCTCCCAAACCGCCCGCACCAAACACACAAAAACATTCGAGCACCTGCGCTGGACTCAATCCCTCCCCAAAGCATGTGGCTGGAATGGGTTTGCCGCACTACTCTCGGCAAGCCACTGCACGGGGTTAAAGCCAGGGCCGTATACGTGCGCTCCCGAGAAAAAAACAAACACGACAAGAGAAACACTTCCCACAGTGCCTGGTCACATGACCGTTGGGACCAGGCAAAATGAGAACGTCCAAGGGTTTACTGCGGCCCTTGGCTCTAATGGGTTCAACATCGTGAATTCGACTGCGGGACAAATGGCCGAACACAAGACCTGTGTAAAGGGCGAGAGAGGTGAGCCGCTCGGCCTGCTTCTCTAGTTGCTGGAGGAAGCTGCTGTGCGGCACTTTAGATGCCGCCTCACGGGCGAAGAAGTCGCATGCCCGGTTGCCACGCCAGGCCCACTCAGGGCAGCCCAAGGCTACCGCCTGCAGCCTCGACTTGTGCGCGGGAACCTTGAAGAACACCGTTTGGCCCTCTCCCCGGTCTCGCGCCCTGGACAAGACCTCCTCCCAAAGTTCTCCGAAAAGGATGTCGCAAACCTTCTGATGGAAACCTCGGGCCCAGACATCAATCAAGGACTGGCAATCCACACCCAGAAGGATTTCTCCTGGGCCCGAGTTCCTCAAAATCATGAGCAGCGCATACAATTCGGCACCGTCAATGAACTGGAGCGGGTGGGGAAGCGGGCCGTGAGCGCTGGCAAGTAGATCTCCAGCATCACTGACCATGGTAAAAGCCCAACCCGCTCTACAAAAATGTCTGCTGTTTGCTTGTGGGCTCCAGGACCGACCCATCTGAACACATCTTACCATGGACGAAACCATCCGGTGGTGGGATAACCAACCACCTCCGTCTGTTTGTTCTGCGACTGCTCACGCACTGCCTGCGACTGCGAAGGCACTGCCAACACACCTGCTAACATACAGTCAGCGTATGAGGGAGAATGGAATCGACCAAGCACCCGGCACGCGGCAACAAAAACACCCCGTGGCCGTCGGCGCGCAGCCTAGTGCCAGCAGGTCGATGCAGGCCGCGCTGATGTTGACCGTGCGTTCCAAATGCGCACGCCACCAAGAGACAAGTCTGGGAGCTGCCCACTGGTCGCGGAGGCACGCCGCGGCATGCGTGACGTGTGTCGCCGGCAAACCGCCTATATGATTCCAGAGCAAACGTGAACACCTCGCTGCCGTAGCACCCGCGCTTGTCTGCAACGGCAGCGTCCGCGGCTTCACCCAGGCACGCCGCTGCCTGTCCGTACTGCTGGACATGCGAACGACCAATGGAGACATCAATGTGCAGAGGCTGTACCGACCCTAGAAGGGTCACGACCAAGTCCATCAAAACCTCCTGCTCAGAACCGTTGGGCATCACGCGAAGTTCGAGTTTAGTGCGCCAGATGTCCACCTCCGCGCGGCACTTCAAAGAAGGCGCTGTCAGAGCTGCGGAGAGGAAACGCTGAGGCCGCATCTAGCGCCTGCTCCTACTGATCCATCGCTTCACCCTCACTCCTCGTCATCCTCACCTTCATCCTCTCAATCCATCACCTGCACTTCAACCACTCTCCTTTCTGATTTCTGATTGCACATCGCGCGATAAAGCAACGGCACAGTGGGACGGGATGGGCGGGAGGGGCAGGATGTCAGATATGGAACGAGCGCACCTAGCTAGGCATCTCTCCTGCTCCACCGCCTGCCTATCCCGCTCTCCTCAACGTCGCCATTTTGGCCCAAAGTCCGTAGATCGGGGATGGACAGACCTCCCTTTAGTAAAACGTGGTTTAGTGAAAACGACCTGAGGCCCAAACCTGGCGGGCGCAAGCCTGGAAAATAACGGCCGCGGCGCCCTCTCGAGACCCGAAAACGGACAATTCACTAATCGACGTGTCACTGTTGGGGGTTCTGTCCACCCCCGAGTAGAGAGAAGCTCAGGGACCAGCGAGTTTGGCAATGGAGGGTAGCGGCCCCCACGGCGCACTGCAGTCTGGTCTTCTGCGTGCTGCACGTGGGCTTCGCCCCCCGCGCCCTCTGCGGACAGCTGCGCCTTGCTCGCTCCAGGGGAACGTTTTCGTGTTCGGCGTGTCGACTTTGGGCGGAAAGGGGGGGGAATTGGGCGTGGCTGAATGGGGGGGTCACAAATGGGGGGGTCAGAAAAGGTCCCCTTTCGTGCCCCTTTCGGGCCCCTCCAGAGCCCCAGGGGGCTCGTTTAGGTACCGTTTGGGTACCCTTTCGAACCACCCTCGCCACCCCCCCATTTATGACCCCCCCATTACGCAGCGCCCAAGGGAAGGGGAGGTGTCTGGCTCCGGACATCTGCTTCATGCGGCTGTTTGCAGCAGTGCGTCGTCTGGGGGAGAGACTCCACCTGCTCGAAACAAGCGCGAAAAAAAAGCCAAGAGCTATTCCACGGGGGGGGAGGGAGCGGCGAGGGCCCGCGCCGTTTGGCAGCACAATACATAAAAAAGCGACCACCAGCCGGAGCTTCGATGGCCTTGCGGCAGATTGGAGGTGCCAGCGAAAATCAGAAGCGCAGGAGGGAAAGGCGCGTGCCCGCTGCAACGGAGAGCGCCAGCGAAACGGCGCCAACGAGCCGCCCTGCGGCGTCAACAGACGAAGAACCGTCTGCATAAACATACAGGTCTGGAGGTCCGCCCGGATGTCATGGATCTGCGCTGGCCAACCCTCGCCAGAGAGCGGAGCGCGCCAGAGGCGGCGCACTGGATCTGGATAAAATCGAGCCTCAAGGGGCCAATCTAGTGCGCCTCAAGTTTCTGGGGAAAGAAACCCGTCACTCCACGCTGCAGCGGGTATGGACACAAGTCTTGTCCGCAACCTCGCGGAAGGAAGAGGAGGAGGAGAAGGAAAAAGGAGGCGGAGGAGGAGGATCAAGGTATTTGCACGTGTCGGCAGATCATGGGGCCTCGGGACGGAGCAGGAGCAGGCAAGAGGGACCCACCTAGCCGCCCCAACCCATCCCGAAGTCGCCGTTAAGCCTGCCAATCTCCAGTGGGGGGACGTTCTGGAACATCGAGAACACAGTGGAACCTGTGCACCCCCAACCCGTGCCGTGCATCCCCACACGGTGGCGGGATAGGCCGAAGACCATTAGATCCGCCGCCCCCTGTTGATTCATCACAAGGGGTGCTTGGCGTGCTGAACCCTCTAGGTTTTGGTTCCGGTTCTTTTTCCCAAAGAACTCTCCCTGGGGCTTCGGCCCGTCCCGCCGGCCACCCGGAAGGCGCTCAATTCCCCAATATCGTAGGTTTTTTCGCCCAAGACGGCTCCAAGATGGCCTCCAAGACGGCCAGGATGGCCGCCAAGACGGCTAAGATGGCTTTAAGATGCCTCCAAGACGGCCAAAGATATACCCAAGACGGCCTAAGAGAGTCCAAGACGGCCCAAGACGTCCCAAGAGGCCCCCCAGAGGTCTCCAAGACGGCCCAAGAGGCCTCCAAGAGGTCCTCCAGGAGGGCCCGAAGAGGCCAAAATCATTGATTGTCCTTATGTTGTTGAAGGATTTGGGGATTTGTGTCTTCTCGGCATTTCGACGGCTCAAGACGGCCCAAGAGGCTCCCGAGATCGCCCAAGAGGCCCCCAAGAGGGCCCCATGACGGCCCAAGTGGCCTCCAAGAGGGCCCCAAGAGGGCCCCGAGACGGCCCAAGAGGCCCCCAACACGCCCAAGATGGCCTCCAAGACGCCCAAAATGACCCCCAAGATGGCCCCGAAGCGCCCCAAGAGGGCCCCCAGTCGGACCAGAAAGGCCCCCAAGACGGCTCCCGACGGCGTCAGACGTGCCAGGAACCCACCAAGATGGCCGAAGTTGGCTCGAAGCTGGCCCAAGACGGCCAAGAGGCCCCCAAGAGGGCCTCCTGGAAGGCCAGAAAAAGCCACAAACATTGGTGTTCCCTAGGTTTTTAACGTATTTTGACATGTGCTTCTTTTCGGCCTTCCGACGGCCCGAGACGGCCCAAGAGTCCCCAAAGATCGCCGGAAGATCGCCCAAGAGGCCTTCCAAACTGGCCCCAGAACAGCCCAAGAGGGCCCCAAGACGGCCCCAAGAGGCCCCCAAGACGGCACAGGAGGCCTTTAAGACGCCCAAGAGGGTCTCCAAGACGGCCCTGGAGCATTCCAAGAGGGCCCCAAATCGGCCAATAGAGGCCCCCCCCCCAAACGGCTTCCGACGGCGTCAGACGGACCAGGAACCCACCAAGACGGCCGAACATGGTCCTAAGATGGCCCAAGACGGCCCAAGAGGCCTCCACGAGGGCCTCCAGGAAGGCCCGAACATGCAAAAATCATTGAGTTCCCAGGGGTTTTTGAAAGAGTGTGGCATTTGCTTTTTTCTGCCTTCCGACTGCCCGAGACGGCCCAAATGCCCCCAAAGATCGCCCAAGAGGCCCAAGACACGGCCCCAAGAGGCCCCCAAGACGGCCCAAGAGGTCGCCAAGACGCTCAAGATGGCCTCCAAGACGGCCCAAGAGGCTTCCAAGACGTCCTCCAAGAAGGCCCGAAAAGGGTCAAAATGGCCTCCAGACGGCCAAGATGACCTTCAAGATGCCCACGTGTTCCCCGAAGGCTTTCCAAACCGATTCGGGGAACACATGATCCGATAGCTTGGCAGGTCTGGCCACAACCTTCGGCCACATAGGCGCTTGCAAAAAGGCAGGGGGCGGCGGTGATTCGCCGTAGGCGTCTTCGATCCGCCGCCCCCTGTCGATTCATCGCAGGGGTGCCTGGCGTGCTGGATCCTATCGGTTTTGGTTCTTTTTCCAAATTATCCCGGCAAAGCAACCTAACAGCGATGTGTAGAAGCATATCTGAAAGCACTCCCCTTAAGATTCAGATGAAAATCCAGTTGTCGAATTCTGCTGTTCTCGCAGTCGTAGTCGCATTCGCGATGACAGTCGCAGCAGCAACGGCAGTCGCAGTCACAGCCTCAGCCTCAGCCTGCCTCCTCCTCCTCCTCCTCCTCTTTCTCCTGCTCCTCCTCCTCCTCCTCCTCCTCCTCCTCCTCCTCTTCCTCCTGCTCGTCCTCGTTCTCGTCCTCCTCGTCTTGCTCGTCCTCCTCCTCCTTGGTGCTCTCTCCTCCTCCTCCTCCTCCTCCTCCTCCTCCTCCTCCTCCTCCTCCTCCCTCCTCCTCCTCCTCCTCCTCGTCCTCCTCCTCCTCCTCCTCCTCCTCCTCCTCCTCTTCCTGGTCGTCCTCGTTCTCGTCCTCCTCGTCTTGCTCGTCCTCCTCCTCCTGGTGTTCTCTCCTCCTCCTCCTCCTCCTCCTCCTCCTCCTCCTCCTCCTCCTCCTCCTCGTCCTCCTCCTCCTCTCCTCGTCCTCCTCCTCCTCCTCCTCCTCTCCTCCTCCTCCTCCTCCTCCTCCTCCTCCTCCTCCTCGTTCTCCTCCTCCTGGTACTCTCCCCCCCCTCCTCCTCCTCCTCCTCGTCCTCGTCCTCCTCCTCCTCCTCCTCCTCCTCCCTCCTCCTCCTCCTCCTCCTCCTCCTGGGTCCGTCCTCCTCCTCCTGGTCGTCCTCCTCCTGCTCGTCCTCCTCCTCCTCCTGCTCGTCCTTCTTCTCCTGCTCCTCCTGCTCCTCGTCCTGCTCCTGCTCGTCCTCGTCCTCCTGGTCTTGCTCGTCCTCCTCCTCGTCGTGCTCTTGCCCCTGCTGAAAATGTGGCCCAGGAATGGGAGTTCTGGGAAGTCGAAGAGCACGAAGTTGCCTACAGTTGGCTACGGGCATTCAAAATGTGGCCCGGGAATGGAGTTCTGGGAACTCGAAGAGCACGAAGTGGCCTACAGTTGGCTCCGGGCATTCAAAATGTGGCCCGGGAATGGAGTTCTGGGAACTCGAAGAGCACGAAGTGGCCTACAGTTGGCTCCGGGCATTCAAAATGTGGCCCGGGAATGGAGTTCTGGGAACTCGAAGAGCACGAAGTGGCCTACAGTTGGCTCCGGGCATCCAAAATGTGGCCCGGGAATGGCGTTCTGGGAACTCGAAGAGCACGAAGTGTGTGACTGTTGCATCCGGCCCCCCAGAATGTGGCCCGGGAATGGCGTTCTGGGATGTCGAAGAGCACTTTGTGTGTGACTGTTGCATCCGGCCCCCCAGAATGTGGCCTGGGAATGGAGTTCTGGGAAGGCGAAGAGCACGAAGTGTGTGACTGTTGGTGAAAAACGAGCCCGGCTCATGCCGCCCGGAAACGCCCCAACACCTGCCCGGACCCCCCTGTGGAGTGATCTGTGAGCTCTTTTGAGTCAACTAGAAAACTATCAGTCTTCGCTGTTAGGTAAAAAAACTCAACCTGGCGCTTCGGCCCGTCCCGCCACCGTGCCGTTCGCTCGGGACATCCTCAAATTATCCCGGCAAAGCAACCTAACAGCGATGTGTAGAAGCATATCTGAAAGCATTCCCCTTAAGATTCAGATGAAAATCCAATTGTCGAATTCTGCTGTTCTCGCAGTCGTAGTCGCATTCGCAGATGAAAAT